TGTGGTCTTCTGTGGTAGAACCTCTTCTGTCAACACTTGCAGTATTTAACTTTTTCATACTTTTACATTTAATAAAATGAGAGCTAACAGGGATTTTATCATCAAATCAATGAAAGAGAGTGAGAGGATAAACACTACTCTTGTCTCATATTACTGGGCCTACTTGCTTTGAAGATCTATACAGTTCCAACATCTTATTGCACCCTACATTTCGTAAAGCATCTCTTGAGAGAGGTTTGATAGAGAATATGACAACCTATCCCAATGTTTTGCAGAGGCCTCCTTATTTCAATTTTCGACTGCTCTTAGGAGGTTATTTTCCACGATGTTGATTTAATGTGAGCGGGAAGATGTTCGCAAGTTATGGGATGACCCCTATGATTCACTTTCTGAAGATTATATGTGACAATGAGAAAGTGCTAATCGAGTCCGTAATATACTTCTAACTGATATCCTCGTTTTTCTACAATCTATGGGTAAGAGTCTTGACGATTTCGATCTTCCAATGGTAGGTGCAAATGCTAATTTTCAATCTAAAGAATTTCGTGAGGTACAAGAGGAAGGCTCTATAGTTGTGGAAGAAGAACACTTGCGTACCCGAGACTCTCTCAATTTCGACAAGAAATACGCATATGATGAGACCATGAGGCACGTAGACGATGATTGTCCAAGAGTGTTCTTTATAGATGGTCCGGGTGGAACCGGGAAGACATTTTTGTACAAAGCTTTGTTTGCCAACATCCATTCACATGGTCTTATTGCTCTTCCAACCGCTTCGTCGGGTGTTGCTGCCAATAATATGCTTGGAGGGGGAACAACTCACTCTAGATTCAGAATTCCTCTCAACCTTGATAATAACTCAATGTGCAACATAAAAAAACAAAGTGGGGCTGCTCAATTGATTCGAGATGCAAAAATAATCATCTGGGACGAAGCATCGATAACAAAGAGGCAAGCGGTGGAGTCACTCAATTGAACAATGCAAGACATCATGGAGATGACACTCCCATTCGACGGAAAGATAATGGTTTGGGGGTGATTTTAGACAAGTATTACCGGTCGTGAGGCGTGGAACCTGAGTACATATTGTAGATTCTAGCTTACGGATGTCACCTCTTTGATCAACAATTAAAAAGATACGGTTAACACTCAATATGAGAGCACGCACTGATCCGTGGTTTTCAAAAAAATTATTAAGAGTCGGTGACAGAGATGAAGAATCGGTGGACGAAAATTTTATTCGCATACCGGATGACATCCCTATAATGATAAAGGTAAGTCAAAAGATCCGTTGATTGATACAATCTTTCTATCTCTGCAAATCAATGGAACTTATTTGGATTATATCATTTCGAGGGCGATATTATCAACTAAAAATAAGAATGTCGATGAGATTAATGATCAGTTGATCGACAAGTTTTATGGAGATGAAAAATATACTACAGCTTCGACGAAGCAGAAGATGATAAGAATAGCATCTATCCGATGGAGTTCTTAAACCCTTTAATTGTTAGTGGTTTGCTTCCTCATTACCTTCGTCTCAAGATTGGATGCCCAATAATACTATTACGAAATATCGATCTCTCGAATGGATTATGTAATGGCAGTAGATTGATATGCAGAGACTTCCAACAGAACGTCATCGATGCAGAAATAGCTGTTGGTCAGCATGCTGGAAAGAGAGTATTTCTGTCGAGAATTCCCTTATGTCCGTCCGAAGACAACATGTTCCCATTTAAGCTGAAGAGAAAACAGTTTCCAATTCCTCTTAGCTTTTCTATGACAATCAATAAAGTTTAAGGCCAAAAAATTTCGTATGTAGGTGTTTATCTACCGAAATCAGTATTCTCACACGGGTAACTTTACGTGGTGTTGTCCAAAGGGATATCACGGAGCAATACGAATGTGTTAGTGAAGTCTGTTAAAAAATTCAATCGTGTCGGAGTCTACACCTCAAATGTCATCTATCAAGAAGTTTTACGTGATGAAAAGGTATAATCAACAATTATATTATTACACATTTGGTACCATATGCTTCTATTAAAATCACTAGTGCTCGGCACTGTGCTTTGCACGGTGATCATAACACATATCAAGTAATATACAAAAAATTGTGAACCACATCAATATCCCAATATTTCAGAACTGAAAATACTAAATTTTCATAGTGCATTTGTAACTCTTCCAATATTTCAAGGCATCCCTTCTCATTTCATATACTTAGCTGTTTTTTAGTAATTTCTTTTGTCATTAATATGAATTAAGATTCAAGTCAAATTCAACCACAATTCATGTTTTGAAAATATTAAATTCTAATTTGTCACATCAATATCTTATAGCATTATATATTAATTTAATTAATTTATTTATTTAACTTTTAATATATATTTTTTTTTGTAAAAAGAGGATTAACCAAAAATCATATGTTAGGAGGGTTAGCCAAATAAGTTAAGCACCATGAGTTTAGAGAATCATTCAAGGGAGTCAGCCCTAGGAATTGTCACGGAGACATATCAATCTTCCTTTATATATCTATCATTCAGTGTCAATCTTTTATCTACCTATCAATATGGGATAGACAAAACTCAATCACAATTCATGATTAAAGAATACTTAATCTTAGGTTGTCACATTGATTGTTGTGGTTCTTACTTTTATATATAGAAAGAATAGATTATATATAACTAATTTTTAATATCGATTAACCCTTCTTGCAAGAAGAGAATTGGCCAAAATGAACCAACCTCATGTGTTCGTAGGGTCAGCCAAAATGTTCTAAGCATAGGTGTTAAGAGAATCAACCAAGAGGAACCAACCTCATGAGTTGTCACAAAGGTATCCAGACCTCATTTTTACATATCCAACATTTTTGACAATCTTTCAACTCTCAATCGATGTGGGATATATAAAACTCAATCACAATTCAAGATTGAAGAATATTCAATTATTAGGGTGCCGCATCAACGGTCCCGCTTCTTACTTTCAAAAACATATTAAAATTATCTCTTCAATTAAAATTAGTATAGATTAATTTTTTCATAAAAAAGGGTTGAACAAAATGAGTCAACCGCATATGATTAAAAGTTCAGTCAAAATGATCCAATCACGTGAGTTTAGACAATTGCTCGTGTGTTTAGACAATTGCTCCATACATTAAAAGATAAAACATGGCTTATATAGCCAAATGAACCTTTTAATTTTCAAAGGGAACTCATATTTCTCTTATATACTCATTTTCTTCATTGACATATCAATTTCTTATCAATATGGATACCCAAAATCCAACCACAATGCAAGAAATTTAAAATATTTGGTTTTAATGATGCCACCTTATTATTTTATAGCTTTCTTTAGTATTGATATATTGATTTTCTTATATAGACAACTTTTTTGCAAATAGAAGGTTCGTCAAAATGAACAAACCTCATGAGTTCAGAGGGTTAGCCAACATGAACCATTGATATGAGTTTATAGAATTAGCCAAGAGAATCCAACCTTGTGAGTTAGAATAAAGACACATTCAACCTCTTCTTATATACCTACCATCAATTGTCGATCTTTCATCTCTTCATCAATGTGGGATACACAAACTCAACCTCAATGCAAGAAATATATAATACTCAATCATTAGGGTGACACATTATTTCTTGTGAATCTTACTTATATATAGAGAGAGCCCTATATATATAAAGATTTTTTTATAAAGATGACTTCTTTGCAAACAAAGGGTTGGCCAAAATGAACCAATCCCATGAGTTTGGAGGGTTAGCCAACATGAGTTAATGATATGAGTTTATAGGATTAGTCAAGAGAATCAAACCCCATGAGTTAAAACAAAGACACATCTGTAACACCCATATTTTTACCATGAGAAATGTTACGTAATCAAAAACAGATTCTCCAAAAGCACTCCAAAAATAATGGCTAAATTAAAACTTTAGACCGTTTACAGCAGAAGACTTTAAAAGAATAAATATATAACTTCATGTCAGCCCGTCCCATACCGGGCTTCTTTACAAATGTATCTATCATAGATGATTGCATCTAAATATGGAACTTAAATGGACTAGACAAGTCTCTATGTATGCCCTTCTTTTTCTTTGTCCAACCAGAAACCCTCTGTCCCTAAGATGCATATTATAGTCAGCTTATAAAGCTCAGTGAGTTCATGGTTTACGTGAGTAAAGATCATTTCACATCATACATATCAACTTGTAAACTTTGTACCAAATAGTATGCATTTTCTGAAAAACATGCAACACTGAAAGAAAAGAGATCTCATAAACTATCTGTCGGGTATGAGTCATTTACTCACTGGCATTCCCTGAGTTGTCCGATTTGCACCTGTCTAGACACTCATTACGGGGTTGTGCCACTTGTCATGTGACTTCTTGGTCAAATGCTCACCCGCTAAAACTGATCATAAAACTTTCAAATGAAATAACATGCTAGAGTTATTTGAAAACAAAATAAACACATAGCATGCAACTGATCATAAAATAGCATACATGTAAAATATATCGTAAGATGTATGTAATTGAAATATCATGCATACGTACACATCATCAACGATTCATATCATGCTAAAATAAATTTGTACTTAGGTATGCATCCCAGTGAAATCTCATGAAAACTCAC